ATATAAATTTATTCAATACGAGTTTTATTATCCCACCTTCTCATAATTTCATTACTCAAAGCTAGATTATTTTCGAACATGTGAGAAAAAAGCAGTTATCTTCTAATGAGTTTTTTAACTTACTCATCTATTACTATAAACTAGTCTTCATCAAATATATCTTCTATAATTTGAGATGCAATATCATCCTCATTTCGTGAGTCAACTTCTATTTTATTAATTTCAATTTTCGGATATTTGCTCAATAATTGATTTACTATTTTATCTGTTATTCATTCACAATTTTGTATTTTTATAGTTTTTATACTTGTACATTTTTCTGGTATACTTAAGATAATTTTTGGCACTATTCGATTACTTCCATAGATAAATATATGGTTTAGATTCTTGCACGTATCCAATGTTATCTTTAATGAACTATTGTTAAGAAATCCCCAACCACAATCCTTAAATGATATAGTTATTATATATTGGCATATACTTGCAATATCTTCTAATAGAAATTCATTCATATTAAAATAATTATCTATTCTTTCGAATTCGATCTGTTTTATATATTTTATCGCATTCGGTAATGGTTTCTTTTTTATTATTTCGACAAAATTTCTAATATTATATCTATATAATTTAATCCTTCTCCATATTAAATATGTTGCGCATTCATTCCATCGTTTGTTAACATATAAAACTGGAAACAATAATTCATTATTACCACATAATCTTTTATTTTGTGTTCGTAAATGTTGAAATATTTCTATTATAATTTCTTTCAGAAGATTTATATCAGACTTTTTTGATAGTTTCCTTTTTGCTGTCTGTGAAGCAGGATACTCTGTATCTAATATTGTATTCTGCTTTTTATCTTGTTGTATTTTCTCAAAATCTGGTAAACTATTTGTAGAGCGAAGCTCATTTTCTTTGAAAATAATCAAATTTGGAATTTCTGGATATGACGGTTTCCATGTAATTGATATACAATTTTTACTACACAAACTCTATTTTTCTCAAATTTCAGCTCATCCATTTCTATTCCTGTTTTAAGTTCTACTTTTCCAGCTATAATAAAGCCATCTGTATGTATACGTTTTACTTGATCTCCTAGTGGCTTCACAATTTCTGATATTCTTTTTCGTGCAGATGCTAATAAGAATGGTTTTATTCGT